CTATAGTAGAGAATAAATGCAAACTATCTAGTAGCATTAAGGAATAAGTATAACTATTGATTGAAGAAAATAAGAGAAATCTACTCACTAATTTTATAGTAGCAATTGAATAAACTAATAAATATTTGGAAAGGTTGGTGAGATGGAATAAAAATAAATTCAAAACACAAAGTCATCTTAGAGTTATTTGAAAATATTGGGATGATATTAAGTGAGAACAAATATGAATAAGTTGGGAAGAATAACAAGCATCTGAAACAATGAGAGAGGGTAGTAAGGATATTGTGGCAGTTATTGCTGAAATTATCAACTTTCATGGTTCGGAGATGAAAAATAATCTCTCTGAGTTCTTTCATAAATATAGAGGAGAAATAATTAACGAAGATTCAACAATCATGATCGAATCAATTAACGTAGAAGCTATCAAACCTTTAATAGATAAAGATGTTTGGATTCATGAGGGATCAGTTCAGAATTATTGGAGGGGTCACAGGGATTCTAATGAGCCGATGGACAATTATGGAAGCAATTCTTACCCATAACCTGGATATTATATAGGGAAAAATTAAGTGAATATTCCCGACTTTTCAATCCTTTTGGTTAAAGAAGAATGAATAATTGACAGATGATTCAGTCAAATATCATAGGCAAGTTTAGGTAAGTGAACAAAAACTTGTCTTATATCCTTAAAAATTCAATTTGAGGATTGGCGATTAATGTTTTGAATTTACATTACTTATTTATTCTGGAGTGTTTAAGTTGACAAATTCCTGCTTTTCTTCATTTAATAAACACATTTAAGTTGTTTTACTATTCGAATGTTTAAAAAATCTCTATATTACTTTTTCTTTTATCCCACATATATAGAGCTCTTATAATTTTGTGTATCTCAAATCATGATATTGAAAGTATAAGAGTAATTCCTCATAATCTATATTTTATCCTTTTATAATTTATTAATTAATGTTAATTACTTATGAAAAAATTATGATTTATAGTTAAGTTGGTTCATTTGAATTTCTTTCTACAAATTGTTATGTTTAAGGTTTGACAATTTCATCGAGCATGAATCGCTAATATATTTTTAAGGAATGTCATAAATGTTACCATTTCCAAGCTTATTTAAGATAATTCTGATATTCTTGCAGCAAGTTCAAACAATATATATAATCTGAAAGCCAAAAAGTCACTTTTGTATTTGAAGAGATCATCAAGAAACTGATATTACACATAGCAAAACCTTAGATATTAAATTTAAATCCCAATAACTATGAGGTCTTTTTCAACACATTCGTTAATTAATCTTTATTACAATTTTATTGTCTCTCTAATTCATTTGATTGAGGTATTTGAAGAGATTTTTAAAGTCCAATCAATGCATTAACCTCCTTCTGGATTGAAAGAAAAACAATGTTAAACAAAAGTAAAACGTGGATATTGAATTACTTCTTTGTGGAAGAACAATTTTCATGATTTGATTTTTATTTGTAACCTTAATTTAAAAATGAATAATTAAACTTCAAATTCTGTTTAATATAAAACTAGATATAGATTTTTTCATTGTTAAAAATTTATGTAAATCAAGGTACTTTTTTCTTGCTCAATAAAATTGTTTAATTCCACAAAAATAGTTTCTTAATCTTAATTATTGTAAACTCAGATAAATACAATAATCATTGTGTTCTCTGCTTCACCTTAAAGTGTACGTGTGAAATAAAATGATTTTTTTAATTCAGAACCGTTTACAATCAATTAATTGAAATTTGTTGTTTCAATAATTTAAAAGGAATAAAATTACTTAGAAAGTATTTATTGATCATTTGATCTATTATATAACTTCATAAAAAAATAATCCAAAAGAAATGTATGAGTGATATAACTCAACTGTTTATAAAAGATAAAATTGAATAAATTAATATGATAAATTTAAAAATCCCCCAAATTTGCTAAGATATTTTAGAGGTATTTTGCTTTTGCAGACTTTTTAATCGAAAAAATTTATCATATAGAAAAAGACAAAAAACTTTGTGATTATTTTTAATATAAATTAAATGTGTTTAATATATCTTCTCATTATCTCCTAATTTTTTTTTTAAATAAAATAACATGATTGCTTAGATATTCAAAGTGGGAATTTTATCAAATAGTAGAAACTTCTCAAATCATTCAGCTAATACCATTTTATAACAATCTTAAGGAAGATTAAAATGAAAAATTAGATATTCTTATCAATCTGAGAAGTTGAACTAAAAAAAAATGTGAATAAGAAGAACTAAATAAAGATATTCAAGAATTGTCAAACATACATATACAAGAAAAATAGCAATCTTGAAAAATTTATCTTACTATTATTTCATTATTATTCAAAATTCAAGTTTTGTATTAAACACAAAAATAATAGAATGTTTAACTTTTCTAAATGCAATCTAATAAAAAACTTAATAATTAAGATATTAATCATAGGAATTTATGCACTCATCCAAAAAATTAATGATAAGTTAAAGAAGATCTATAACTAAATCAAATTGAATACATTCTTTAAACAAATTTCCTGTTTAGAATGATAATATAAATTGAACATCATTTATTGGGTAGATAATAATAATGAATATGTCAAACCATAATGAATAAGATATCTGAATTTACCTGTTCAG